GGTGAAGTTCATGCGAGATGTTCTTCTGAGTGGGCAGAATGTTGTCTGTAGCTCTGATACTGAGTGACGCTAGAAACACAAAGATGCAGTGTGATCACTGGTTTTCATTGCCACTATACTGTACAGTAAATCTTAATTCTTATATCAATTACCCAAAAGGTGTAGGTTAGTTTTCAGGCTTGATAAGTCACATCATGTGGTAAGAGGAAAATCTCAAATCACAAAACCAACACATGGAAACAAATATTTTAAGAACAAAATAATAATTTGATACAGATTGTGATTGTTGTTGATATTTTCAACTTGTTTCAAGTGAGTGAGCTCCCAAAATCACCATACTGGCAATTATTTATAATGATTTGTTGTTTTAACCGCACTGTGCACATGCTGAGCTGTTGAAGCTACATTTGACTGAACTGACTCAATCTCACAGCAGAGACAAGAATGCCTCACTTATACACAGTCACAGGCTGGTTCAGGAGCTGCTCAACATGTGATCACGTCATCGGCGGAAGGCGCTAGCAGGCTTCACTGTGCTTTACTAAATGCATGTTTCACAACTGTGCCTACAGACAGGAGAGGAGAGTGAGACCAACAGGCATCTGGTGTTTTTAAATAGAGGTGGAATGTCACCTCTCTGAAGAACACCATGACATGCATGAGCACACTGCTGAGCACTGAATAATGTGAGACTGGAAAGTGGAATAGATGGTTTAACTCCATCCTTATTGGAAGCCACAGACAGAGTTTTTCCAGGAGATATATACAGTAGAGGACATATACCACATCTCTCTGCAACTTCTAGAATCCACAGCAACAAAAACTGATGCATTCAGTAACTGTTTATCATATCAAAAATCCAATACTTGCAGTAAATGCTACATATTCTTTGGCAGCTACCAAGAACTTGCTGTAATATTCTCATAAGTGCATTAAAACAATGCCACATAAAAGACAGGACAATGCCACAGAATTTAGCTACAAAAGGCAAAAAACTAAAATCGCAGCTGTTTTTGAATGTTTTTCAGAAACCAAACAAGCTCAAACAACATTTCTGACTGACTGAAACAAGAAATAGCCAAACTGAGCCAAAAACCCAGTCTAAAGAATGACCCTGTCAGTCAGTCATCCTATTATCTGCTGCCATTGTGAACCAGTCCACTGGGAAACGATTTGGAACACCAAAGAATCAACAATCACTTAAAGTGAGAACAGTGTTTTGACTGTGTTAAATACCTACTGCAGACATCCATCCATCCATCCATCCATTTTCCTCCGCTTATCCGGGACCGGGTCGCGGGGGCAGCAGTCTAAGCAAAGATGCCCAGACCTCCCTC